GTTCAATTCTAGCACGGATCACGAAAGTCTAACAACAACTAAATAATCAGACAACCGGACACGGGAACCGGATATCCGAAAGTCCAATACGAGATAATCGTAAACAAAAATGAATTAACCAATCATTTTACCCGTTACATTATCCTTTGCTGTGCTCATTGTACCTACAACCCTATTAGTCAGTTCACTAATATGTGCATGCAAATGTACATGTACACTTGGTGCTATAGGAATTTGTGAAATTTCCGTAAAATAAACTCATGATACACCGGGTGCTTTCTAGACATAATTGACTCACCGTCAAAAAATGTTATTTTCATTAATTCTTTTCAGGTAACGTCCGCCAAAGTATCTACCCAACCGTGTTTATTTATGTTCTCAGGCAACGTTGCATTCCCCGGCGCAATTTATTGTTGTCCGGGTGATGCTGATGGGTGAATACTTCCTCAGAACAAGATAAAACATAGGTCAGTTATTCGAGTAACAGAACGTGACAGAAAAAACATCTCTCAAAACTCATTTTTTGGTTTAAAGTTTGTGGTATTTTGAGCATAATTATATTTGGCGGGTCGATTTTAAAATATTAAAAATGTTCATAGTTTTGGTAGCTCGATCGGTATTTAGGGTGAACTGAAGATACTAGCAGTTACGAACGACCGATGCGGACACGGTATTGTTAAGCGCCGATGGCAGTCAAACACGTGGCACAGATGTGGCACTTCGTGTCGACGTTCCCACTTCACGTTCAATTTAGTATTACACAGAATAAAACTGAAATAATTGAGATATTTACTCACATCACCGTGCTCATACGTACCGCATCACGTTCGTAAATTATGCTAATCATAGAGGTGCTCGATCTGACACGGGAAGAGGCCGATGGGTCAATCAGAGTCAGGGTTCAAACCCCGTTGTTCACATACTAGGATATACCTTTTTCTTAGTAGTTTCTACCTACAAGTACTAATATTGTCATATTTGGTTTAAATGTGTACATTTCAGCTTCTTTTTTTTGTAACCAAGGCGATATAAATATGTGTTGTCCATTAGTGTAACCGGGCAAATCATCGTCACATGGACGTATCGAATGTGTGTCCTGAAAAACAAATTATGTATTATAAAAGTTGCCAGGAAAGAATCACAAAAAAACATATATATATGAAAAAATATATATATTTAAAAATGTATACATACTTTATTATGTATACAACAATTGATACTCCGTCACAAGACATAAGATTATTCATAAACATGTAAATTGATGCTAGGCGTAATGAAGTATACATTTTAAACTCTCTAAGTATTTGATGTGTTATTGTTTTTTTTATTGAAATAACCTGATGCGTTTACTTTAATTTAATCAGAAATTAATACTTCTCTCATTGGTATTGGTTGGACCCTATAGAGCCATTTCTCGGCGGTGGTCGTCACGCCATGTCCTGTTCAACATGGGTGTCATACATTATTTGCATACAAATTGTTATCATTTTTTTCTTTATGCTTTTTTTTCTTTATTTTTCATGTAGTTATTTTTCTTTTACTAATATCTGATTTGTAACCCTGTTCATCCATTCCGGGGTGATGTTGTGTGTTAAAATACAATATAATAAATAAATAGATAGCGATGTACACAACGCGTGTAATATACATTGTTTACGTGAAATTCGAACACGCGCTGCACCACCCTTCAAATAGTAGGTAGCGTTGATTGTTTTGGTGCAAACAGCAAGAATCACTACGCATGCGTAAAAGTGTTTTTATCAACATTTTTTAGTTTACGGTAAATCATCAGTTTGAATCTGGATTCCACACCAAACAACGAAATAAAAAAAATTACGCTTTCGTCTATATATATAAAGAACAAAGACAAAAAGTAGTGCGATTATATAACCCTTAGCATATACATAATGCATTTGAATTGTATTCAGTACAATGGTACAATAAATAAAAAATAAAAAAATACATAAAGAAGAGGGATTCCTTTAAATAATTCCCTCTACAATTTCACATTAAACAGAACACTGTATGTTTGAGTCATAAACAGAATGTGAAAATAAACTCTTAAACTCCTAAATAAATATAACGTCACAATTATGGAATTTAAAAAAACGTTAAAACAATTTGAAAATGGCATGCTCAATAATAATGTAAATTTGGCATTGGACAGATCGTATATTGCAGTTGAATATACTATTCACAACTGTTTAAGTAGATTTTCTCTATATTTTGAAGCGTAGAATACAAATTTCGAAATTTGAAGTACAGATAAGTTCTGCATTATGTGAAGAAATTTTTCATAAATGCAATCTGCTAAAAAGTCTGTTCATAATCAAGAAACCTTCAAATAGTGTTTTTAACAATCGGTTTGCCTGAACCTGCCACAAAACCAAGGCATTTCATTAGATATGTGTATGGCTCTATTTATCTGCCAAAAAATTTCATAGTCCATAATTTTAAGATAAGACATATCTATGCCCATAGCTCGTAATACGCAAATAAATACACCGTAACAAGGTGGGCGCACCAGTATCTACAGTCAAAATGAGCATCAGGGACTTGAGGATAATGAATGCCAGCAAAACTGGTAATTAGTTGTTTTATTCACGTAATTTTGAACTAGTTTTTTTTTCAGGATGATTTGATTTTTTCTTCTTTTTGTCTGTCATTTTCTCTGTCGGATTTGTTTTTTCTTTAAAATAGTCTAGGCAAATCTAACTGTTCTTCGTTCTGTTTCTAAAGGCCCGAACTTTCACCCGTACTACTTTGTGCGTGTGTTAGCATTGGGGAAACGTGATCTGACAGTGTGTGTTTTACTATCGAACCGATAGAATAAACAGGAAGTCGTGTAGGCGTTACGAGGCACCCGTGATACCTATCAAAGCAATAAAGACACGTTTAGCTCTTGTTTGTACTCTATTATCCGAAAAGTGACGCAGGTATCGACGAGAACTAACTTTGCAGTGAGGCTGGTGCTGTATTTATGTTGACATCGTACACACACCATCGAACCAGTGACAGTGAAGGTAATTGTGGTCGGTGAACACTCGCCGTGATGCACTGAATATCTCGCAAACAAATCGATCGATCATACAGGCGTTAGAAGCATTTATAATAATAAGTAGTTGAATAGTTTCAGCAAACACTGCTCTACAAGTACTTAACGTTGCCTGTGGGTGAGTGTAGGGAGGTTATGTGCTACGTGCGACTGCTGCGCGAGGGAGCTATAATAACTCTTTAACCTTATCAATATTTTTCCAGCCTAAATGTTGCATGCATTTGAACTATGATTACTTTGTTAATTTTTAACTATTCTTTTAAATATGAAAATATTTAAGCGGATTTATTTTGTAACTCGAAAGCTTCTCAATCGTCTCAACGCGTTGTAATCGGCGTGGGTCTCACGCGACTTACTGTATATAACGTGTCAGTGTTTTGATTATTTGCGCTAAATTAGAACGCATATGTAACCGATGTAGATTGACGCTGAACATTGTAATGTATGCAAATCGTCGTCAAATCTCTAGTAAACATCCACGTTGAACGTCATGTACTACTAGTAAATAATAAACTAATATAATATACTTGAACTATTGAGGACAATTAATAACGCAAATGCCAAGAAGACGTCGCATCGACAGATTATAGGATTTAAACTACAATTATAATTTTCTCAGGCGCGATGACACATATATACCAATGAATGTAATTTAATTGTTAAACCTTTTTTTGCAAGGGTTAACATGCTTACACACTGTACTGCTTGATTAAATAACCAGAATAATAATACTTCGATTCGTAAATGAGAGTGAATGTGAACCGCGGTGATTGTTCCAATATTGTCATAGACAAAGAACACTTCGGAATTCTAAATTTGTATATAAAAAAAAGAAATTTGGTAATGGTTTTTGATATTTCGGAGGTAATTTACGGTGAATTTCTGCAACCCACAATGTTATCAAGAATGTTTTTAAAAATATTTTGAATGTGGGCGTTAAACTAATTTAACATTTCTGTGATTATACCCCATCTCAGGTAATCGTATATGGGTACTTAATCATTTTACTTGATTTAACTAGCAGTGCTGCATAGAGATAAAATATTCACTAACGTTACCAAGTTGTAGTGCGGACCTTCTGCCAAACTGAATCCAGAAGTACATACAAATGCAGTCTAAACGTAAATCTCACCAACAACAAAAAACAGAAAACGGGGAAAAAAATTGTCTAAAACAGAATAAGTGCACACTTGAGAATAAGTGTTACGTTCTTTCTTGTATACTTGATCGTGATAAAAACTGGTCATTGTGTCAATGTGAAGTGGCTGTTTTTACGTCATCAGTTCGGGGTAACCGTGATGATAGACGATAGCAATGGAGGCGTTTTCTCATCGAATTACCGCGGGGTTTGATAACAGATCGCTCCGTGTTGGCATTACACGCCCCGGTAACCCTAAACAAGAGAACCATAGATGCCGGATAGGGGATTAGCATACATATGTACCCAAAGGGGTTGTGGTTTGCACCTCCATTATGTGCACCACTCTTTTTTTCAAACATATGACTTTCCAACAATACGGTTAGTTGAAGGTCCTCTGACCGGCGGCGTTACAGTTGTATTAGTGCGGAGAATCGGCCACCAAATACGCACATAGAAGGGAAGTCTTAATCTTTAACGCTACAGCTCCTTTTAATGTTGCTCTCTTTCCGTATTACAGAACACGTCACAATATGAACCGCTTACTGCTCATATGTTTCGTTATTCTTGTGCTGCTCGGGGCGATCGCCGAGGCCAGACGTGGTGGGCGGAAAAGGGGAAAGAGTGGTAAGCAAGGCGGAGCGGAGGGCGTTGACCAATCAAGTCAGACACGAAAAGAACGCCGGCGAGACAAGCAAGGTAAGGTATTGATTACTACCGTTCACGTTTAGTTTACGTTACTGTATCTCACACGCCAATAGTTTCACTAATTCGGTCAGGTGTACAACTGAATCTGTTCCCACGGAAGCTACCATATTTCCCAGCATTCCACAGTGGTAATTCGTCACACCCCGTCAACGCAAAAGACTGCATCGATGAATCACTTTAATGTGGGCAGGTGATAATTTTGTTTTCCAAATCAGTAAGCATTTATTCCCCCTGATTATGCTATTGCACTAATTGTCGTTAAAAAAGCAATCAGTGACTTTAAATGAGTCCATTTAGTGAATAGACGATTTCAACGAGTGGCTTCACTTGCACGTGATACGTATCTGATTACATTATACCATCTGATGTCTTGTTCGAGGTCAGTCGTGCAATAATCAGTAAAATTGTCCTCTAAATATCAGTATATCACACTACTGCATGACGGGTAAATGTTTTATTTGAAACACCGCGAAATTCTGAACAAGTTTTATTTGTGTAGATGAACTAACTGTGAACGAGCCTACGAGTTGCTGACGCAATCGGACGGAATATCGCGTGCACTGGATAGCCTCATATTCGACATCACATACCACTTCGTCAGTCTGTTATCATCAATGCACGCGCGGGAATTGGGCCCCAAACGACGATAACAACACACACTAAAAGGGCTCATTGGTAGACGCTTGTTTGTAAACAATGACACGCTATGGCCATCTGACGCATGCGCAGGTGACGACTCTCCCGCTTTAATGTGAACTTACCCTCAGGCTCGTTCAGGGATATAGCAATCTTGTTATGACTCGCCGTTCCACCAAGCCAGTGTCGGCACTGTAAATACAAGCTGTTGATGTCATTGAATGTCGAATTAACAGTCTACAAATGTGAGGCTCATTATGTGGCAATTTCGAACCTCAGGCAACCAACCCAAGCCGATTAACACCTTAAACAATAGGCTTTTCCAATCTGTTTGGGTTGGTTGTCAATTTATCAGCTGCTATAAATCACATCATCTGTGACTTGTACTCGGCATTCTAACATTCGTAAATCTAATGAGCATGCGCATAACACTATGATGCCATTTTTAAAGTGAAAAAAGGGAAACATTATTCAGATTAATGCAACTCTTTATGTCCAAAGTCAAGAAATGTTTACTAATACATTATTCAACTTAGTGTTTATGGTCAAATTAACTCTTGTATGGGAAAGAGTTATTTTTGTACCACCCCTAAGTCAAACCCTCTCATGCTAGACCCCCTCCCATATATGCCCCACTTGGTGTCTTTAGAAAGCGCAGATACAATTAAATTGGGGGCGCAGGAGGGTAGGGGTGAGGTTAGAGTTATGGATGGGGGATACAAACTCCTTCCCGTGTATGAGTATTATTCACCGTTACACTACACTTAAAAACAAGATTCTTGTCACCGTGATGTTGACATCTCTCCTCGAATCTATGGAGTGTTATTTTGGCTTGCATTTCAATTAAACTAATTAGTTGAATTCGACAATTATGACGGATGGGTTTCATTCTGCCGTGTTTCACAACTTGTAGTTTTTAGTACAGTAGTATTGCAGTGTTGTTAGGTGAGCCATCGAGTGACAGCCTGCACCGAACTAGTGCCGTAAATCACGGCACCGTGACGTGATCTGAGATTTGAAAATGTGTCCAGAGTGAGATTTGACCATTCTACACTGCGTGGTACACTCGTTATCGTCATTTTAAAGGAATTCTGTCCAGCAAAAAGGTCATATTCTCTGAACAATTGTTCGTTTAGCGTATTTTCAAGTCATTTTCATCGTATTTTTGTTTTGCCTCGCTATATATCATTGCATTGCATTCATGACATCAACAATGACATCGCTTCATTATCGACACTGAACACGTACTATCAGCCAATTTAATACCCCGACAGCTTGACTTGTTTTCTCCCCCGTAAAGTCTTGATCGACAAGCCTATTATGGGTTTTTACACCTGCCTTTTATTGGCATGTGTGGTCTGGACACCTTTTTAAGTACTGTTTGGTGACTGTTTTGTTGTCTCTTGTCCCTCGGGAGAGTGCGAGTTAATGACATGTTTTAGCCGACTTTGCAGCTTTTAAAATAATACGCGACATATCGCCAAATAATATTGATGGTTTTCTCGAGGACGCGACTAATTTGTTTGATGGTTTGATTTATGGAATCGCGTGTTTGTTCGTCTTGATCAGCTGCCTCGTTAAGTCTGAGGTGCTGTAGCGCAAAAATCTTCTTAAACCACCGAAAATCAAAGTTGTTGTGCTGCATTCGTCGCATGTAAAATACACTTGACTTGTATTTTTACACGGGAATCGAACGATTACTGCACGACGAATATTTAAAGTGCGGTAGTCGTCGCGCCAAGCATGCGCGAGATATGTGGGTCTCGTATAAACAAAGATGGTGACTTTGACTGTTGTGCAGATCAACGAGTTCAAACTGAGACGTTACCAAGCTTTAATTAGGTATTTGCAGGTAATTGCAGTGTATCGAAGGAGTCATCTGCGGTAATTGGTTCAAGTCGTGCCCAGATCAAACCTTATACTTGTGATTTCAATTGGAAGAGCGCATTGGAAAATGAATGTTCATCAACACAAATGTCGCACATGCGTGGCGCGATGACCGCCGCCCTTTAACGTAGCGGCGCGTATACATTGTAAATGTGTCAGTCTGCCTTTTCAGACCACCAACCAGATACAAAATCTGCTCTTAAAGACAGATTCCCCAGTCAACAGTAGGTTACTGTGTTAGTCAAGATAAAGATATTGTAGTAAGAAAATATAAGGGTTACCAAACTTTTTTTTTTTAAATATGTTTGTTCAATCACGGCCGCGGCGACCATTTTGTTTCTTGACCTTTTCGTATTTTTCGTTCCTATGGCATATTAGCATGTGTCAAACTGTAGGATGGCGACAAAGTCATATATCGTGACTGACATCTCTGTCTATTTTAAAATCTGGATTTTAAAAATAGGTTAAAAACTAAATAATGCTTTACCCCCGTGGTCTATGAAGTCTCTCCTGAAAATAACATTGTTTGCATTGTAATGTGCAATTTTTTCCAAAATATTTTTTATAAACAACATAAAAGGATATTTTCTCTCCTGAAAATAACATTATTTTTTCAAAATATTTTTCATAAACAACATAAAAGAATATTTTTCACTGTTGCCTAATACCCTAATTAACAATCACTCATTTAAACAATAAATATTACTATTGATGCCAAATTGTATTACCATTTATCCTAAACTAAACACGTTGTTTTTGCAGTACACACATCAGTGCTCATTGGATGGCAAATAAAAAAAATACTAGTACGCATGCGCAATTATACGAACCAAGCCAATCAGTGCCCGTGCGTTTAGAAAATTGCATCGTTTTCTTGAACGGATACGCATGTGTGTGCTGCGGGAACAACGTTTTATTCTTATAACAAACTTTCACATTCATTCAAATTTACCAAACAGTATTATTGAAAATTTTAAGTTCGGGTCTAAATTGCATATTTATTAAGTCCCCAAAATATTTCGGCAGTTATTTGTTTTCTTCATCCTTTATGGGTCGGCGTGGAGTTTTATTTTATTGAAGTTATAACAATTATTTTCGAAGTGTTTCATAATTTCTCCACGAGTTTAAAGTCGGCGATTTAAATATTCGTCTGATTGGCCGTATATATATTCGCCGAACCTCTTCATGTTGACATCACAAGAGTGCCCAATATTACACGGTGTACACACCAGCCGCGAGCACTCAGTAAGACGGTTAATCGTACCCTATGAAGTGTCGTGTTACCAGATGGATAGGATACAATGTAATTGGAGGTAAATTTACTTACATTTGTCAAAAACAAGTCAACCCCGCTCTTTTGTACGTCCGACCCCAAGAATGAATGACTCTTTATACTCGAATTGGGAATCGACTTAATCTTGTATTCTCACCACGTCCTGTTGTGTTTGACTACAGACCTATCCATCGATGTAACTCTCAGACGGACCGCGGCGATCGATTCCCACGTAAAAATAAACACGGCTATAAACATTCGTACGATCGGGTTGAACTCAAAATAAAAGACAAATTTGGTTTTCAGATCGTCTTACAACAGTTATTTCATTTGTTGTTTTTACGGGCTTCTTTGTAAAACCTACTACAATTACCTACTTACTACTTGGGACGAGGTTTGTGTTCATTCTATATTTAAATGTGCACTTCAATTATCAGTATTGGCCTATTTATGTATAGTTCGGACCTTATATCGCTCGATAGACTTGTTTATTGCTAGTTACCGACTGCAAGAACAAAATGTTTTTCTTGAAGTTTTTAACATGAAAGTTTTACCACAGTCCCTCTATTGAGTGACTGTGGTTGTACATAGTTTTTTCTCCATCCCCCGCCCCAATATTTCGATAAAGACCTGTAGCCGATGTTAAATTATGCCCAGTTGCTTCAAAGTAAGTGAAGAAATTATGAAAACAGCCTATAAAAATGTGCACGATATTGCTGCTACATTTTAGTGAAAAAAGCTAACTCTCGCAGAAAATATAAAAAAAAAAGTTCTACGGGAAACAAAACGCGGATGAACACGGGTATCAACACACCAATTCTTATGATTGACAGATTCAGTCTTTACCGCGTAATTATGGATGTTGTTAACGTTTATATATAGCGGCTGACGTTGGTTGTGAGACTGATCGAACGAAAGTGTCAGGTTTACCCCAAGCGCTGTATCATCCGAGATGACCACACTGCCGGAAACGCGCAATTTCCGCCCTCTAGTGGCATACATAATTATTTCTTGCAGTTTTGTTTTGATTGTCGTTGATGTCCCTTTATTTGGTATCTGGTTGGTGGTCTGAAACGGCAGACTGACACATTTACAATGTATACGCGTAATATGTCTTTACCATGGGAACGAAAAATACGAAATGGTCCTGAAACAAAATGGTCGCCGTGATTGAACCAACATATTTAAAAAAAAAGTTTGATAATCCTCTTATTTCTTTACTACAATATTTTTATCTTGACAAACACAGTGCAGTTGGACCTATTTCGCGCCACGCATGTGCGACATTTCCGTTGATAGACATTGATGATTTTCCCGCAATCCAATGCGCTCTCCTGATGGAAATGATTATGAGTACGTGTTTTGATTTGTGGCTTTGACTTAGATGCGACGTGATTTGTTCGATACCTTTCAATCACCAAAGAAATTACCTAATTAAAGCATGGTAACTTCTCAGTTTGTATTCGTTAATCTGCACACATTCCCTCAACAACTGTGGCCTGCCACATTCCCTCAACAAGGAAGAGACTGTGGGTCTGCGCAACAGACAAATTCGCCATTTATGTTCATATGGGACCCATATCTCGCACATGCATGACGCGACGACAACCACCCTTTATTTTTCCAATATTTGTCAATACCAGTGGGGTTGAGTCAGGTTTATTTTTGTGATTTACAACTCCCACGATGATACAGTTTACCATTTGATTTTTATAGTTTTAAAATTCATTTTTTAGTATTTATTTGTGGACACTCGACTCAATAAGCCTATGTGTAAAACAGCCCTGCATTTAAACTGTTTACATTGTCGTCTATCGGGAAGTTTAATTAGTAATGTGAGACCTATCAC